TGAGACCCACCCTCAAAAGGCCACCAGCCAAGCAGAAGACTTGTTTGCAAACTGGGGAGCTCAAGCCCTACAGCAAAGCCATAAATCTCTTCATCCAGACGATGCTCCTACACCTTGCTGAAAGGGTGAGATTCTCCATCACAAGTTTAACAGCGCTCTCACACAGCTGAGCTGGGTTTTACCTGGAGAGCGGGTGAAGGTCCTGGAGGTAGAGCGCTCCCGAGATTTATAGGGGTATTTCAGCGTCGAATGAAGCTCTCCTTCAGCGAGTGGCTCTGGTAGTATTCGACCAACTCCTGGGAAGGATGGAGAGGCACCCGGCTGTCTCTGCCGTCCTCTGCGTGACTTGCAGGGACAGTGGGCACGCTCAAAGGGGCTACAAAAACCTACCAGCAAGCTTTCAAACTTCTTGGCTTCTGTGATGTGAATCCAGTTGTCCTTCTCCACCACCTTGATGTGCTTCACCTCCTCGTTGAATCTGCGAATGGCAGCAAGGGCACTCAAGAAAACATAGCCACGTGCTCCAGCCCCGTCTCGCCCTCCATGAGCGAATAATACTAAATTACTAAATTAAGTATTACTCACTTAATACTGATGGCAAAGCGCTCAGCCTCAGCCGGCCGCTCCCGGATCAGGTAGGTGCCGCTGACGTGAGACTTGAGCAGGTTGTCCGTCTGCTGCCGCTCCATGTTCCCTGCGAACCTGAGCCCAGAGGTTAATTAATTAAACTAAAAATGTATGCATCTTTAAAATAGGCATGTTTTAGGCAAAAAGATACTTTTTTTTTTTTAAGGTATGAAGGCTGAGAAGGCAAGTAAAGAAACAGGTCTCGTCCAAAACCTCATGAGCAGAAAGGAAAGTGCCCCAAGACATACAAGCTACTCGGCCACCAAACAGAGAGGGTGAGCGATGCAGGGCGCAACCTCTTCCCTCGGAAGTATCTCACACCTAGCAAGCCCCACTAACTGGGAATTGGTCCCCGGGTAAATGAGGCTTCAGCGAGAGCTGGGGAGTGGTGATAATTTGGACTCATGAATTTGCAAACATGGCTGGAGCTGGAGGGAAGGAGGAGGCAAGCCAAGCGCAGCCTCTCCCACCAAGGCAGGAATTGCTTCCTTCCTCCCAAAACAATTTTCTGGGCACAGAAAATGGGAAGAGAAACCAGCATCTCTCCTTTTGCCTCTGACCCTCTCCATCAGTGAAGAAATCCCCACTGATGCTGTGAGGGCTGCACCAGGTTACAACATCCAAACGCCACTGCAGCAGCTGCCCCATGGCCACAGGGAAGGTGGGATGCAAGGCATTGCTAGCCTGCATTCCTAATTCATTATTAGGGTGGATTCCTGACAAAGTAACAATTAAAAGGCAAGGTCGACATATCTTTATAACCAGAGGAAGGTCGTGTCCAGCACACTGCCCAGCGGTAGCAGGGCGACTCACCACGGGTACGCCGTGTAGTCTATCTCCCGCGAGGGCGGTCGGCTGTTGGGAGGCTGCAAAGAGAGCATTGCTTATTACTGATGAGCCAGCATCTCACCAGGCTACAGATCACACCTGAGATGCTCCTCTCCATGGGAGGGTTTTTGTCTGCCAGGCTGTTTCTGAATCATTGGCTTCGGTGGCGGAGGGCAGTGCTGAGGCTGAGCATTTCACTCTCAGCCTCCCAGCTGCGATAAGCATGCTGCATTTTTTCATTTACCTGAGCATTTTTTAATTGCAAAGGGGCTGAGAGCATTACAAAACACAGTTAAAGAAAAAGAATTGCATTTTTCCTGCACTGTGATTGATCTCCAGTACTCTGCTCTGAGTCAGCCCTGCAGAGGAGGAATGGAGTCTGGACCTGGTCACACCAACCCGAACCTTGGGAACAGGGCTGAGACCAACCTGACCAGACATCTGCAACCATGGGATGATGGATCCACCTCCTCATTCATTCGGCCAAAGTAAAGGGCCCCATTCAAGTTCCAGGGGCTTACTGGGAAGACCAAGGTCTCAAGCAGAAGGCTGAGAAGAGCAACAGGCACCGCTGGAGCAGCTCCCAGCATCGCCCCGGTGCTCCCGGCTCCATCTCCTCTTCGGCACTTACCCGTGCATCAACGGGGCAGGGCTTTACCGACGAGCTGGGAAAATAACCCGACTTCTTCGTCTGCAGCAGCCGCCCCTGCAAAGCCAGGCCAGGCATCAGATTGGGATGTGTACGGGGGAGCGATGTTTTTGCCGTGTGGGGATGGGGACAGGCTCCGAACTGCCTCACAGCCCCCCCCCGCTCTCAAACCCCAGCACACCCCTGAGCTCTGGGAAAGCCCACAAACGAAAGAGACAACGCAGAAGTCACTGGTTTAAAACTTCCTGGGAATTTCCCGAGGGGAATCGCTCTCACCTCCCACCATGGCGAGTCGGGGTCCCCCCTCAGGAGCTCGATCACGTCCCCAATTTGAAACGTCAGCACCGGCTTCCCAGGGGGGGCTGGATTTCCATGGTAATTCTGAACCGCCACCATTTTAGGACCTGGGAGAGAAGCAAGCCAGTTTCATCACCTAGTCTCCGTTAAGAAAAAACCCAAAATACCCCTCCTGAAGCCTGTTGTTCCTTATCCATGAACCACAAATCTAACGGCACCAGCAGGCAGGATTTTGGGGCAGAAAGCATGAAAGCAGAAAGGAACAGTGCTCACAGCAAACAGTCTTGGCTCCCGCAGTTACACGGATGACCGAGTTCCCCGAGCAAAAACAAACCCATGAAGGACGGAGCCAAGCCAAAGCTCTAACTCCCAGCCCTGTACCTGGACTTGAACCTCGCTGTGTCAGACCGGCTCTCGTTAGGCGAGGTCAGCCCAGCACCAAACCCCACCGGGTTCAGCGGTGGGATCCACGATTGCAAAAGGGACCGGCGAACACTCGGCTTCACCGCATTTCAGCTGGACCTGGGACCTAAACGCCCCTGAAGCTTGCAGTCAAAGTCCAGTTGTCTCGCCAACAACTGCACATTAAATAAGCTTCCCCAACTGCACTAAAACCACAGTGTTTATCTTCAAAATGCTTCCCCACCTCTGCCTCTCCCCGCCCAGCGAGAGCACTCAGTGCTTTCCTTTTTTTTTTTTTAACCATCAATTTGATTCAGGTTTCTTTTCGCCAGGCTTGGCTTTCATCAGAAAAAGCACAAAACCAAATTGTTCTTTCTCCTTCAAGCCAGAGCATGGGCAGGGCAGGCCCAGCACTCTTTCTAGGCTAGTTTTAAGTAAAGGAAAAATAAAAAAATATTGTGGTGACCATCACGACTAACGGCCCCATCAGAGGGCAGCGCACCCCTACAGTACATCGGACACGTGCCGGCAGGGAGATGCTCCCCATCAGCAACAAGCCTCCCTACCAGGACACGTTTGGTCTGCTTTGAAGGACAATGTGGCACCAAGAAATTCACGGCGCTCTCCTCAGTTACCGGTGTGATGGGCAGAACAGGCCAGGGGCACAAATGCACCCAAAGAAACGATGCGGTGCTGGCGGCTGCAGTGGGCGAGGGCTGAGCCCTGGGAAGAGCCGGGTCTTTCCGCAGGAGACCCGACCGGCTGCTTTGGGGAGCAGGGACAGGGGAGACCTCGGCACCCCATCGCTTGCCGTCAGGGTGGCACAGGACCCTTCTTGCACCTACTAATGCTCCTTTCTAGTTTCGGAAGGAGTTTCCCCCTCCCCACATGTTCAATGTTAGGGACACCCGCAACCACAACGAAGACACTGTCTCTACTTGCCCTCCTGCAATACAGTAAGGCTGCTTTGGGGAGCAGGGACAGGGGAGACCTCGGCACCCCATCGCTTGCCGTCAGGGTGGCACAGGACCCTTCTTGCACCTACTAATGCTCCTTTCTAGTTTCGGAAGGAGTTTCCCCCTCCCCACATGTTCAATGTTAGGGACACCCGCAACCACAACGAAGACACTGTCTCTACTTGCCCTCCTGCAATACAGTAATGCCCTTACCAGGTCCAGCACTCAGTGAATCCTACAAAGAGAGAAGAAAAAGTCTCCGTGAGGACATGGCGATCTCAGCTCTCTCCATGAGCACCCATCCAAAGCCAGCAGGATGAGAAACCCTCTCCCGAAACCTCCCTGGTACCTCCCAGCCTATGGTGCTTGCCCCAGCTGGCTGCCAGCACCTCCCAAGGGCTGTGGTGCTGCACAAACTGGGCCAGTTTTA